AAAGCAGAAAATAAATTAATGTATGCGTGTGTGTTATAAGAAACGGTTGGCAGGTCGTATGAGTGATTTTATTGGCAAAGTAGCTGGCAAAAAACATTTGATGTTGCCGTTGCTGCTGTTGTTGTTGTTGCTGTTATTGTTGCTGATTTTATGCGCTGCCAACAGGCCAAAGAGTATGCGATACATTTATTCGCGCACGCATAAAATACCATTTCCGAATTTACGAGTCTCTACTGTAGATGGGTTTCTGTTTGGCGTTGTTTGTAGGTGCCGCTCGTTATTCTCTTGTCGGTTTTATTGTCTTTTGTGCTTTCTTGGGTGGCTTCGATTTATTTTCTGGTTTTTCGGCATGCATCCCCTAAAATTATGCCATAAAAAAGATTCCAACAAAAGTTGCGCCGTGCTGCGTTTTCTAATTAAATCAACATAAAAGCTAAAACAGCAACTTTCACATGTGTTTACTGAAGCTCTTTTAATGTATTCTTGCCGCTGTGCTTCTGGAGTGGAGCCCTCTAAGTAGGGGCTGGGGTAGGGTGCGCTGGATGGCTCGATATGGCCTTTGTTGTTCTGCAGCAATTGCGTTGCTGCGCTTGTTAGCCTGGCCAAATAAACAAAATTAATGATGTGGAAATTGCGCAAGCCTATTGCATTTACCAGTCCCTGCTCATTAATTTTATGTGCCCAAGCTGGGAGAACAACTTCTGCTGCCGTGAGTTAATTTGATTAGTTTTTACATCAGAGGCATCAAAAATCAAATTGAACCAACAAGCGAATGAAATGTCTGTGAACGACATGTATTGTGTAATCATCGAAATGCTGACCGTGTGCAAATATTCGTAACTCATTTTCTGAGAGATCAACTCGTCAGTGCTCGATCAAAGTATAGCATGTACCAAACTATAGAGCAAATTACACAGACAACTATTAGTTAGATATCTGCTCCCCATCTCCAGTCTTCTTTCAGTGAGCAAATACGTATCCAGTGGGGGAAGCAACAATTGTTTCAATAGATAAACTGTTAATATTTTTATTTATAGCACAAGTGATACTATTCCATTGAATTACAATTTATATGTGTAAATAATCTCAACCGATTTTCATTAAATTAAGAGGAGCGCAAATTAAATCACTATCGATTTTCTTGCCTAATAGAAATTACAAGAATTAACCAAAACTTTTCAATGGTCTGAAGATCAGTGAATTCTTTCAGCGCATTTTTGTATTTTATTTTTAGTCTTTACTCAACCGAAAAAGAAAAACACATTTTCAATTTGAATACATTAATTTGCTTAAAAATACGAATTATATTTTGCCCAATCAATTTAATGAAGCCGCAAATTGTTCATGCCTCAATATGCAGCAAAATGTTTTGGACGATTGGCAATGGCTACGCTAGCGACATCCAAGAACTTGCCACAAATTTTACGCAGCACAATTTTTGGTTACCAGCGTCGAGGCTATCAAAAGGGAACTCAACGCTGTGCTGGGCATGGGGTGGGCAAGGGGAAGGGGAAGGAGGAACGTACGCACGCTGCATACATAAATCAATTTCAATTAACGTTAATTAAATACGCATCAAGTGGGCATGACCACAGAGGCAACAACCAAAAGGAAGACAAGAGGGGGCTGGGGGAGCGGATCGAGCTGGCGAATCAGCCACAAAAACCAAGTAAAAACGAATGGGTTCTAAATTTGGGGTTGAATCACAAGCGGGGCAAGGTCTGGCCAGCGCTACGTATTTGATAGCAACAGGAACAGCAGCCGCAGCAACAAAAAGGGAATAAAGAAGCCATATGGCAAAAAAGGAATACGCGAGAGAAAAAAGGAATAAAAGGAATAAAAGTGAGTAAATGAGATTTGCAGTTGGCGGCTTTAGCTTTCGCATTAGTTGGGCAAAGCTCGAAAGTATGCAACACAAATTGAAAATAGCTACATGGCAGGAAACAAACGTGCAACAAGGGGCCACTTGCTGGTGCTGACTCTGCCTCATCTCTGCTATGTTTATGTGTGTGTGCGTATGTGTGAGAGTGTGTCTGTGTGTGTGTGCGTGTGTGTGCTGCGGTTATGCGCTTGGTTTGACAGCCATGAGACCAAAGCCAAATAAACAAGCGAACACAAAAACAAAAACAGCAACAACAACAATGACAACACGCCACAGCAGTAGAAGCAGAAAAAATTCTCAATACACTCTGCGCATTGGCAGGCTAAGCAGAACCGCAACGATGTGCCCCAGCAACAAGGCACACGCGTCACATACACGATACAAACATCTAAAATAACATTATGCTATGTACTCGTACAACAACGCCAGCAACAATAATGGACAAGCCTCCCACTCAACCCCAAAGCACACACACACTACTGATAAAAGCAGCTCCCGAAGGCCTGTAAATGACATTGATATGTTTCTAGCTAGCCTGCCGAAAGTAACAAAAGTAGTTGTATTACTAGCCACTGATCTTAACTGAAAGATTAAAACTGGCAAAATTTACATAACATGAATATATGTTCCATATATAATATATATTAATTGATTTATATGATTCATATAGAAATGGTAGCACAGCCAATACGCTGCTAAAATATATATATATTTATATGTGAACTAAGATATTAAGAAATTAACAAATATTTACTGAACTTTTACTAAGTAGTAATATTAAATAGAAAAGGATTCTATAACTAGAAAAAGACAAATGAAATGAATCTGTACTATCATAATGATATAGGGTTCTTTCAGAGCTTGGCTGAGAACTAGAAATGGAATGAATATGATTTATCATAATAGCTTAGCATCCAAGTAGAGTTCTTTTGTGTGTTCCAAAGAACTGAAGGGGTCTGAGAGACTTTGAGGGTGTCGTTTACCAATGCATTGTTTCTGCTAAGCAAGGGGGTATTTATAATGTCAGTTTTAACATATTTTTTTTGTTGTTTTATATGCCTTAATTTGAATTTTCATTTTGTTGTTTTGAGTTTGTTCCCTTTTGTTATTCCGCGTTTGAGATGCTGTTGTAATTATATTCAACTTTGCATAATTGCAAAACTCATTAAAGGCGAACTGATGGGCCGGGAGGAGGAGGGGCGGGATGTATGTTTGTCATTTCCTGGCGCACAAAAGTAGGCAACGAAAAGTGTAAATTGCGTTTGGCCCCCTTCCTTAGCCAGTACTGCTAATTGAAATTGAAACAGTTTGTGGCAGAGATTTTGCACATAATTCAACAGATGCTGCTGGGCAGGTTGCTGTCAGCGGGAACAGCTTGCGGAACTGCTAAACTCCCATTCCTTTCTGAATGAGAACACACACGGAGTGGAGGCTATCCCCAATAGATAACAACTTGTGTTGGACGGAAAAAAGGCAAGTATAAACAAAGAAAAAAGAAAAACAGCCGCCGTCGCTTAGCAAAACAGCTGACAGACCTGAGCCATAAGTGATGACAACACGAATTTACATTTCAATTAAATGACCAACTGCTGCTGGCCCCCAGGTCCAAATGGATATAAAACAGCGCTCACTTGGCCAACGGCGCTGTTCCATTTTGGTCAGTTGTGGCCCGAACGCCGAGCAATGCGCATATTTGTCGGTTGCCCGCTGTTTGCCCTTTGCTTCAAACGGCATCTGGACGATGAGCAAACCTTGGCCGATCTCTTCGAACAGCAGCCGCCCACGCACAGCAAAGTTGAGCAGCCCGAGCCTGAAACCGTGGTGGGGCAGCGGTTACAGCTGGAGCCGGAGCCGGAATCGGAGCCGGAGTTGACTACGAATACAATACGAGCAAGGGACGCAGCTGCGTTAACAAAGCGCGGCTCACATTCACCGGCGCGTCTCGAGGAGCTTAACATTTGTGCTGACGTGCACCCAAACAGATTGCCGGCCGAGCTGATGCGGGCTGCTTCTCCAGTCGGCGGCGCAACGGAGCGTTATTCGAGCGCCGCAATCAAAAATGAAATTGAAATCTATTCGGATGTGGAGCTAGGCAACGGCGCACTTTATTTTGCCTATTAACCCAACCAGTTGAAAGTTGACGCTAAATTACAAAATCAATCAAAAAGTGTGTTCATAGATCAAAGTCAAAAAGTTCCACTTTGATATGGACTCAAATTACAAACAACAAGTTCATGGTCAGTTTCAGTAGATATTTAAAACAAATTAGCTTTATTGCTCACTGTCAGCAGTATTTAGCAGTGAAATTGAAGATGTCATTCAGCGCCGCATCGCTTGTCAACGCATTTGCCATAGTAAATTGGTAATACAATATGCCAAATCACATTTTCCCCTTCTATTCAACTGGCCCCAGCAGCTGCTCGTTGAATGAACGCATTATGGAGTATAATCATCATTTTTATATATGAAATGAGCGTAGCCAGTTAACGGAATAGAACTGCACCAATCCTGGAAAAATCGTCATTCGCACTACTTTAGAATAGAGCCACTTTTAGCAGTTGAATTGGTCTTCATCACAAGATGAATTTACTAAATAGAGACTGTAGTCTAGTAAAAATCCAAGCATGAAAAACTGTTTTAATTTACGCGTATAATAAATAAATTCATTTCTAAATCAAATATCAGCTCTAAGGCTGATTTTAAGCTAACTGCTACCGATCACTGTTTTCATATTCTTTATCTTTATTTTTACTCAAATTTTTAAAGAATGTGTTTCTTTCTGCTTGATTCTGTTCTAGATAGTTTCGAAAGCTGATATATTTCGACCGTTGTTCCAACTTTTGTAGAGTATAACTCAGAAAGTTCCTAAAAGCTTAATTTTCTTGTTGTCACTTGTTATATCTTGCGTCGGGTGTTTACTTAAGCCAGTTTTCTTTTTAAAGTCATACAAGATTCGAAACATATCATCACGAATAGTGTCAGAATATAAATTAAACTATACTATACTATATCAAATATTATTTTAAAACTAGTATTGATTTTTCATAGAACGAAAATGGAGATTATTTCATCAATAATATTGAAACAAAATGGGTTTATGTATTCGGTACTCATTTTGTATTGTTTTCATTGTCTCTCTCTATCCCTTTGTGGCTATTGCCACTTAATCTGGCAAAACATTTGCTGAGCACCGCAAATTTCCAGTAAACATAAGTTCTAAACAGTTTTTGGTTTACCGGTTGCTTTTTATTGTGAGGAGGAGGCTTTGTTTATATTTCACCGGAGAAGGCTATATAAAACGCTGCCAGGCGACGGGAACATGCAACAGTCGCGACTGGCACTTGCCACTGACTCCCCACAGAGACGGAATATTGTATCTTGAAGCACTTTGGTGTTGCTCAGCAGCTCTTTTATTGTGAATAATCATCTTGTCTGTGAAGTCTGAAGTGGACCACAAACACGGAGCGTTCGCCATCTTTTTGTAATTGCCAGTGATCCACTGCAAGTGTACGCTATTCACAGTTAAGGAGATACTCAGCATTTATGCTCGACTCAATTCTGGTAAGTTCAAAAACGTTTTCATCATTTTTCTGACCTAGTTTTATACTCTGGTCTACTTAATTTTCTCTAATACCCAGAATTGATCTATATTCTATATCTATATCAGTTTTAGGTTTTGATCCTTCTTTTATATTCTATTTTATATTTCTATTCTATTTTCTCTTCTATTTTTATTGTATTGTATTGTATTTTTTTATTTCCTTTCTACTCTATCTGCATAAATTACCAATTCTACTTTTACTCTCTCTTTCTGCTTTTCGCGCATTTAACTACCCAACTAATTTTATCTCTAATTATTATCTAATTGGTTGTCTGCAGATTTCCCTCTCTATTTTTTTTTGACAATTATACTTATCTTTTTACTAATTCCAATAATCTGTTTCTTTCTTAATCTTTTTCGCACTCATTAGCATTCCTAATCTTATCAATTCGTCTCAGATACCCAGCAAAATGTGTCCACAGTTCTGTGGCTGCTGCTGCGACACTAATACCCAGCAAACGGGCAGCAACCAAGGCCAGAGTCAGGATATAGAGATGAAGGATTTGACGCCAAGCCTGATGATCACTATCACCAAACAGCCGCAAAAAAGTAGCTTCCCAAATCGCAGCTCATATTCCTCGCTCGGCGTGGCGGAACGCCCAAATATTATAGGCAGCTGGAACTGCGACGGGGAGATCGAGCACTACAATACCGATGAACATGAGCCAACCATATACAACAAAGCACTTTGAATGCACATCCTAAACGAAATGTGTGTGTCGGTGGTGGGCGGTAAGAAAGTAAATTTCATTAAATGGAGGATTAACACAAGTAAGAGGCTGGTGTCAAAAACGTCCAGCTTGTACCCAGTCTAAAATACCTCGTCACCTGGAGATCAACATATAGCCCGCGAAACACATATTTATATTATATAATATAAATATAATATATATATATTACAAGCTTGTAAATTTCAGAATATCCAAAACTAATAACAAAAACAGTAAAAACATAATATAGCAACCTGTGCGAGAAACAACATTTTGAGCCTTCTTTACCAGAAAAGAGGGTCACTGAAGTGGATAAACTTATCTGTGGATCGCATCATGCATATAAAGTACCATCTACCATAAGTTACATGCATTTGCACAACTATATATATCCCAATATTTCTTTTTCGATGAATGCAGGGTATGCATGCAAAGAAAACAAAACAAACAAATGCAAATAAAAGAAAAAACGGGGAACTACAAAAAAATACTTAGTATACGGCCAGACTATGTCTGGGCCTTAACCGAGGGGCTTCAAATAGTTTTCACAAGCCACACCAGCGGAGACCCACACACACATAACGCACACACTCACGTAGGCACATGAGCATGCATTTTTAAAATGAAATTACGCCACGTTTAGTTAACTCGAGCAGCAGGCCGAGGAGCAGGTTGTTGGATGTTGTAGCCAACTGGTTAAGACTATGTAATAAAAATTTTATTAGCTGTTTGTTTAACTTTAATTAAGTTGATTTCATTGCGCACAAAAGCCGGAAACAAAAACGGCAAAAAAGAAAGGACGACTCCTGGAGGAAGCTAAAGCTAATCAAATATTTAGGCAATGCGCTTGGTGGTTTGCCTTTTTGGGACGCTGCCTCAGCATATTAACATTGTGCTGGGCAAACAGGCAAACAGGCAAACAGTTTGCCCAGCAACACACAAAACACACCAAACAAGCAGCATAATATTCATGATTATCATTAACACACACACACGCGCGCACACCCCACATTGCATGCATTGTGATTTCATGAGTTTTACACGGGCCGCTCAACAAGCATCCTGCAGGAGTCTGCCTGATGACATTGCCGCTAACATTTAACGCCTGTGCATATCAAATATGCAAGCTGAAAGGCATACCAGAGTGGGGAGAGATTGAGTGAGTTGAATTTATTGCTTTACTTTAATGACAAATTGGCTTGGTTTGCCGATTTAAGCAGCATCCCGATGTTTCGTTATATATATTTATATATAAATATATAGATATTTATGTTTATCGTGATTAATCTCCAAATTTATATGATGTATGCATGCTTAAACATTAATAGTTTCGGGAAAAAAATCGACTGCTTCACTGTAGCTAATAACTTTTTTTGCATTGTCCCAAATGTCAATCTAATTTTATGATAGCGAATAATATATTTCTTTTGAATCGAATATTCCTTGTCACAAAGTTGGATATTTGAAATTTTGAGACCTGAATATGTCGATGTTTTTTAATTTTATTTAATTTACACACACACCCGCACCCAGGCTTATATATCGGTCTCAGCGGGAGTTGGCAACATCTTGAGTGTGGCATTCCATTAAAAGACTTTGATGCCTTGATGCTTGCCACTTAGCTGAACGCTGCGTATATTATCGATGGCCATAATGCGAGGGCCCAAACCAAAGTTTCTTGTTGTTGCTGTAGTTGTTACCGTTGCGTTGGCCATTAAAAACTTTCCGGCAATGCCATTAAAATAAAAATCGAGAGCGTGTTAAATGATTTACAAAAGCAAAAACCACTGCAACGAGAAGACGATGACGATGACGTTGAAGACGAAAACGAACCCAAGAACAATTTCATTGCTGGCGGGCTTATCGCATTGGCATAATGTGTTTCAGGTTATCCCATTTGCCACCCCTTGTCACATACCCCTAATGCGCTCCCCCCACTCGCTTTATTTATTTTATGCGGCTTTTGTGACAAGTTAAGGCTTTTGCTACGCCTCCTCCTCGCCCATGCCACACACTTTGGCACTCCTGTGACTGGCAAAGGCAGTTTTGCAACTTTATGGATTTTATGAGTTTTCAATAAGTTTTTCCACGTTGCGAAGTCGAGTACTAGCTTTGAAACTTGCCTGGCAATTTAAATTTATTCTTATAGCAGAAGTCTCTAATCGGATTTGATATCCTTACAAGTTTGTGTATTTGATATCTGCTGATATCGACTTTCAGAGGATGATTCCAAATTTCCTAAGCTATAAAATTGGGCAGAATGACTGACATATTCGAATTTGGCGGCCCATTACATATTATTATTATTATTATTATTATTATTATTATTATTATTATTATTATTATTATTATTATTATTATTATTATTATTATTATTATTATTATTATTATTATTATTATTATTATTATTATTATTATTATTATTATTATTATTATTATTATTATTATTATTATTATTATTATTATTATTATTATTATTATTATTATTATTATTATTATTATTATTATTATTATTATTATTATTATTATTATTATTATTATTATTATTATTATTATTATTATTATTATTATTATTTTTATTTTATTAGTTTTAATCAGTTATCAGATCCACATATTACTTTAAAATAGGAAATTATAATTTTTCTAAGACTTCATATATTTCAGGGTACGTGAAATATTCCAATAGAAGCATTAGAATGATCCTTTTTAAACTACTCATTAGTAACTAAACTAGAATATGTCTCTGGTCTATTCTAGTTTTGCTTCCCAATATATTTGGAATCTTTTTGTTTTAAGTGATAAAAAATTTGTTGAGCAAAAAATATTTGAAAAAGGATCGAACAGTATTTGTCTACTTTTATATATAGTATGTAATTGAAATCCTGGTGATTTATAACCTGGCACCAGAAAAAGGCATATTAAAATTATAAAAAGAGGTCAGTCAAAAGCACATTTAATGATTAATTGATTGCTTGCATTAACTCAAGTACTCTCAAATAGCCATATTGATAATTATATAATACATATATACAAGATAAAAGCTGAAACCTTAATGTACATATATTTATACTCGTATCTCACACGGTGCATACATTAATTGATTGGCTATCAAATACATAAACGCAATCATATCCTTGACATAAGGATATTGCAGCATCCCTCCAAGCTATTCAATTACCTACGCACTTGATCACGTTTACGAGAGAGAGATGGGGGAGCAGAAGATACGCTGAGGCGAATGATGGAGGGGGTTGTGTCAATGCTTATGGTCAACTTAATGCAACTAATCGCCTACCATTAACCGCCAATGACACTTTTATGCCACTATAATAAACTTAAGCAACACAAGTGACACTTTATGGAGAGGGGTGCTCTCCCCCAATCTGTGTGTATGTGTGAGTGTGTGTAGTTTAGTTGGTGGTTTCTTTTGTGGTTGGTTTGGACTGGGCGGTTAGAGGATGCGTGTGACAGGCGCTTGTCAAAGCATCACAAAAGTTTGGGCACGTTGTGGCAATGTCTTAAACGAGTTCTCCCCCAAATGGCAAGGAAGCGAATCCCAAGAGTTTGGACAAGTTGTTCCGTGTTGTTTCAGCTGTACACAGACACAGACAAACAGAGATACAGACGACCAAAACCACTTATATCAATAATAATTCCCATTTGTAATAAAGCCAACTTAAGGGCGGCTTTTTGCGGCATTGAGAGTTGCATGCAATAAGCATCAATTGAAATGCATAAGTAAACAACGAATATCGAATTGCCGAGTGGGTGGCACAGAGTGGTGCAACGTGGTGGGTGTTCTCTATCTCTCTCTCTCTCTCTCTCTCTCTCTCTCGCTCTCTCTCTCTCTTTCTCCCCTATATATAAAAAGTAAATTGATACAAATTGTGTAATAATCACGCCATTGCATTTTATTTTTGTTTCATGGCAGATGACACCGATGGAAACAGAAACAACAATGGCAAGTAAAATAAAACAAAAATGGCACGAGTCTAATGCGATAATGCAAACAACAGCAACAAAAACGACTGACACATTGCCTTTTGGAGAACTTGCCAACAAAATGCTGTGCATTAGTCTGGCGGCAATTTCGTTTATTATTAATAGCACATGGTCACACTGAATACAGCTGTGAAGAGCGCAAACATTGAGAGCACTAAGAGAGGGAAATCTGCAAATGTCATTCCATCTGGTCTTGAGCTGAGTTAACAAATATATCAAGTTCAACTATTATTAGAAACTAAATGGCAATAATTGAACAGCAATTGTTAGTGTCGCTAATTTGAGGCGATTGTTTATTTGATCATATTTATCGAATTTCAGAGAAACTATCAAGTTCTTTGCCATAATGATGTTCAATTCAAAACTTGCATGTTATAAACAAAATATCTGACATGAAAATATAAGAAAAATACTACCAAATGAATTAAAGAAACATATTCTGACCAAAAATTAATTTCGTCGTGAAAATCGATTGAGTTTGAACATAGTCCAGAGAGTTGATTATCCAAGCAGAATATTTTGAGTGATTTTCTGTAGCCTTATTCATGTTTCAGCCATAATGACTGAGAGCGCACATTTTTATATTGCTTGGCTAAATCACGAGCCAATAATATTCGCACATTAATCACACCAGCTTTTTTCTGGTTCTTTAAAAAATTTCCTTCAAAATATATATTTCAATATTTTCATGATGCTCAAGTCCAAGTTTTGTACATAATACATAAGCCTTTGATTAGTTAATCAGCTTATCGGTTTTTAACCGAACAGGCTCTTACCCACAGTAAGTTTATCAATTGCAGTTCAAGTGCAACTTAAAAATAATCACCTGTGAGGATGTGAAACAATGCCTGCTTTTAAAGGATGGACATCAATATTATTGTTATTATTATTATTATTTTTATTATTACTATTATTATTATTATTATTATTATTAGGTATATATTATAGTATATTATAGTATCCTAAACATATTTAATTGATGAGCATGCACCAGGCTTAATAAATTGTTTATCTTCATTTCTAATCAATAACAAAGCGGATACATTTAAATGTGTTGAGCACGCACTAGGAGCTAGCAGTAGTTTATTGTTTCCATTCATTTAAAGTATCGGGACACGCTTCTGTCGCCGCGCCCCCGATCCGCCCATTCGATGTTATTTATCATGTGGCAATTTTGTAATGCATTTTGTAATCGATACAAAGCAATCACAACGAATTGAAGGCCTAGCCCCGTGCGCCAGGCACGTGACCAATCATCCCAGTGTTTGAGTGTCGATGTGAATGTGAATGCGGGTATGAGTATGGGTATCGATATGGGTTGCGTATGTGTAAGCGTATGTGTATAAGAGCCCCGCCTCGCAGTTTGCTCGTTGTGGTTTCTTGTGGCTCAAATTAATGGAGCAGAGAAGCGGGTATCAAAGTAGCAACCACGTAGCATGACCAAGTCGACAACGAGCGTGGCGGACGTCGCGCGACGCAAAATGCAATCAGAAAATAATTCTAAGTTAATTTTAATCCATGGATTCGCAAGCAGCCAAAATGAGCAATGCCAAAGTAAAATAGACTCCGATAAAAACATGCTCCATATTTCAGAAATATGCTCGAAACCAAGAATAAATTATTGTCTTTTAGAAATTATTTCAATAATTCTGAAATACATTACTTAAAAAGTAAAAACTCTTGCC